TCCGTCAAAGCCTTTGATCTGTTGAAAAGCGGTACCGAAGGAGTGGTCAAAGTTTTGATTCAACACTAGATTTCAAGTAACAGTTATTATTCCTATCCATAAACAGTATTTCCTATCCATAAACAGTCCATTAGTTATTATGTAATCCAATATAAACTTATTCTTAAAAATTGTCTCATTATTCTTATGTTAAGTCAATGTGTTTTGTAATGTATTTGCAATAAATTCTATAACTAATTGTCATTAAATATAATATTACTTAACGTACAAAACATGCAACAAATTCTTGCAATTCTGGTTTACTTGTATTTGACACTAATATTCCCGCATTACAGTTATGGTGCGATAATAGTGATGCGAGTAAACTGATCATGCTTACCTCTGCATCATTATACCTATAATTAGCTTAATATGCAATATATTTGTCAAAAATAGTGTAATTAATGCTAATATCAGTGATAATCAGGAATTGAAGTGAAGGACAAACCATTTCAATGATCGCATTCTGAGCGCAACCAAAACCGCTTCACTTCATGTGAACGCAAACACACAATACGTTTGCATCGATTGCACAGACATTGCGTTCAAACAAATGGATCGCAACTCAAAAGGGCTCTCATTGTTGTCAACAATAATGTCGTTATTTATGGCTATAATTGAGGATATTTTTGGTGAAAACCAATATTTGTTTCATTGAATCGGTTTTGAAACTGAATTATAACTTATAATTTATAAGTGAATATTAATTGCAATTAAAGTGAATCTAAATGTCGGGACAATTGATTAATAAAGCGATTCAATCGCTTAAAAGCAAAGAATTTCGACAATATTTATGCAGGTATTCAGTGATTCACAAATACTATAGACTTTATAGTGTATACCATTTATTCATATGTTTTAACCATTTCTCTAATTGTTGTCCATTTCCTCATCCATTGATTGAATTGCGATTCTCTTCGCCGCAAACAGTACTGTAAGTCTTGTAATGTCTGCCATGTATTGAGCGATGGATTAATTGATATGTCTTTGTATTTGTTGATAGCATTTCTGGGGTCCCGGTATGTGATTGAGTCGATCCGTGTATTTATTGATTTACTGATTAACTAATTATTGTTTTCTTTGACGAACAAAATGGCGAATCAGTGGCCAATTGGGGAATACCTTTGGCCGCAATCGCCGACATCAAGAAAGATCCCACTTTTATTAGCGGCAAAATGACAATCGGTTTGAATGATGACAACACTTGATATGCGATTACTTGTAATTGACATCTAAATTGTGATTTGTATTGATTGCAGCCCTTTGTGTCTATTCATTACTATTCATGCGGTTTGCTATACGAGTAAAGCCGAGGAATTTATTATTATTTTCGTGTCATTTGACGAACGAATGCGCACAAGTGGTGCAGGGATTGCGGCTCATTAACCATCAATACCTCACCCCTCAAGACAACGCTTGACTCTCTCTTTAATCTCACAATTTATTTAATTTAATGCTATTTTGTTAGAAAACTATTCAATTTATAGACTAAATTATTATTACTTTTTAAATCTCAATCAATGTTATACTTTTAGGAAATGTTATATTTTATTTAATTGATTAAATTGTCAAACGAATGGATTTAGTGATGATTTAATTGCCGGTAATTAGGTTTGGTATTAAATACGATAATTATCTCAAATTGTTTTGAATTATTTTATACTTTTAATTGAATTGTTATTAATAAAACATTAAAATGTGTAAAAATAAATATTTTCTCAATCAAAAACCCAAATCTTGTAAAACGTGTTTATATTCTCATTAATTGTCGATAATTTGTTA